GGGCTAGGTGCGTAGTGCCGTCCTGGAACTAGGAGGCGGGGGGGGGGGCGGCTGGTGTCTGCACAGTTGTGTGTGTGGTGTGTGTGTGTGTCTAGCGTGCGTCTGGGTGTCCCACTTTGGGTATGTGTAAGGAAGGACCTGGGCTAGGTGCGTAGTGCCGTCCTGGAACTAGGAGGTAAAACCAAAATGCCAGGGCCATCAGGAGCAGAGATTGGACGTGGAACCCCCTACCCCAAGTACAGGGAGTTCAATGGGATGCCCCCATATACAGGGAGTCGCCTAATAATTTCTGGTCTCAGAGGGAAACCCTGGGAGGATGCAGAGAGTTAGGGCTGGAATGCGAGTAGAATTGGAGAGCTTGGGTAGGTTAGAACCTGAAAGCTGCCTGAAAGACTGAACTTCTCTGATCCCCTGGGCCAGGGCCATGCTACGTGTCCTTTGTTGCAGGGCGGTGGCCACATCTAACCATAGAAGAGAATAAGAACCCTCACAAAGCTCTGTCCAACCTTTTGTAACTTGAAGACTGTGAGTAACATTGGGTCATCTTCCTAGGGAGTTAGGGCTGCAATTTTCTTAGCTGGATGACCACAGTTGGGACTAGTAATGATTCAGAGGAGTTAAGGGCTGTATGGGAAATAAAGCGTCTCCACCCTAACCCTCCTTGGTGCTTCCAAACAGTGATCCTGTGGAAACAAGGTTGAGTTAAAGGAGAAGATAGTTCCCAGAAGAAACAGCCCGGCAGTGCTTTCTGTCGGGCACATCTATGAGAAAGTTTCTTTGCTTAAAGCTCTTTACCTCTAAACTTCAACAGAACCACTGAGAGGCAGAGAACTAATAAACACCATTCTTTCACAACTACCATATTCCTGGGCACAAAGTAAACGTCAATCTCATCAGCAAACAAATATGGTTTACAGGCATTGCAGCAATGCAATACAGAGGAGTATGTTTTATTAAAATAGAAATAATAAAGTATTTTGAATTTGTTCAGCAGTCATTCTAAATAGAATTAATAAACAAAACTCCCTGGCACCTAGTTCTATGCTGGATTCAGAAGGGCTGGAAACATGTCTGCCGTTTCACTCAGCACTTTTTGGTGATGTCCTGTGTAATTTTGCTCCACAGAAGCAGACTATGTATTCAGGGCTGCAGTTCTATTTTAAGTGTCTAAATTGTTTTAAACTATTTTAAATGAGTGTGGTTCATGTACAGTTTGCGTTTTATGAATTTGAAGTATGGTCCACAAAATATCCGTTTTCCCCACAAAGCTAGCAATTTTTTTTCTTTTTTTTTCAAAGATTTCCAGTACTTGTAATTTCTCACAACTCTTACGCCACTTGGAGAAGTTTAGTGTGCAGACAGGCTCGGGTATATATTGTAGATTAGATTTAGTTTTACTGAAAGAAAAATGCTACATACTTAGAAGGTTTCAACAGATCCTATAAAACAACTTCTTTGTATAGGATCTTTCAAAGCGGTCCTTTCACACTTTCAACAAGCTCTTCCCCCTGGTGGCCAAGAAAAGTAGCAGTTCTGAATATACATGGTTATATGGAGTCCTGGTGTGGTGCTGTGTGTTAATGCACCAGACTGCAAAGCCGTTTGAACTGCAAGGTCAGCGTTTCAAGCTCACCAGCTGCTCCTCTGAAACCCTTTACTGGGTCGATATAGGTTGGAACCAACTCAATGGCACTTCACAACAACAAGGGAGTCCTTACTGACTATCAAAGGCTTTCAATTATGTGGATCATGACAAGCTATGGACAACATTGCGAAGTATGAGTATCCTTGAACACTTAATTGTGCTCATGAGGAATCTGTACTTGGATCAAGAGGCAGTTGTTCGAACAGAACATGGGAACATTGAATGGTTTAAAATTAAGAAAGGTGTGCAACAGGGTTGTATTCTTTCACCATACTTATTCAACATGTATGATGAGCAAATAATACGAGAAGCTGGGTTATATGACAAATAATCCAAGAAGCTGTGTTATATGAAGAAAAATGTGGCATCAGGATTGGAGGAAGATTCATTAACAACCTGTGATATGCAGATGATACAACCTTGCTTGCTGAAAGTGAAGAGAACTTAAAATGTTTACTGATGAAGATTAAAGAGCACAGCCTTTGGTATGGATTGCATCTCAGTGTAAAGAAAACAAAAATCCTCACCACTGGACCAATAAACAGCATTCTCATCAATGGAAAAAAGATTGAAGCTG